CTGTTAATTCATTCATTATGGTCGGGTGGCTGCAACCGACCAGAAACCAGTCAGAGCAGACAGGAAAGAATAAGAAAAAAATTTGAAAAGATAAATAGCATTTATTCATATTAGAAATGCTTATTGTATATATAAAAACCTATTGTCATTATGAGCCTCATACTGCCTACATCTCCTGTCTCCTTTCCCATCCCCGTCACGTGATGAATAGTGAAATTCCCACAGGAATTCCAAAACAATGTAAGCCTCTAATACAGATATGAAATATTTAGCAAAGTAAATAAAAAGCAGTGTATGTTGGAGGGCAGGGAGAGAAGTGGAGGAAGTGTTAGTGGTATGAGTGAGAAATGCCGAATGACAGAAACAACCCAGGGGGGACTTTTTGGGAGGTAAAATCATAATGGAGGGACAGGAGAACGAGGAGAGGCTGGAAGGTAGTGTTTTTAAAGGTAAGACGAAGCATGGATCAGATGAAAGAGAAAAACTTAGTGACATTTCTATTGTCATACGTGTAGATATCAGGTAGAGCAGGATAGTCATCTGAGAAAAGGGCAGAACCTCATGTGGCGCCATTGGGAATGTGATGCTGCTCCAGTGGTGCCTGCCCGCTGAATACTGTGTGTGTGTGTGTGCCCTTCAGAGAAAGATAATGTGCAAATTGAGGTCAATTTATTTTTTAACTTGTTTTGTCTGTTGTGAGATTTTAAGACTTGTGTTTCTTAGCTTACAGAATTCTTCATATTTTCAAACAGTATGTTTTTAATTTTAACCTCAAGGTTTGACAAACCCATTTGTTTGGAAAATGTAACGCTACCTCTGATAACATTGACTGCGGTTGCAGGAGTGTAAACTTCCCCAAATCCAATAAAGAGCAAGACAGAGCTGCTAATGTTAGCTTAAAGTCTGATAGCATCCACGGCTTCCACACATTGAGGAAATAGTACATAGTGGGTGTCGTAGTGATTATAACCTAACCTCTAACCTCACAAACTAATGCAATTTGCTGATGATGTTCTTTTTTTCTCCTTTTTTTTTTACTACTGTAGGTAGAAAGCTAGTTCACTGGACATGCTAATTATTGCAGTTTGCGTTTGACCAGATAAACACACACACACACACACAACACATCAACTCTGTGGACAGTAACATCAAGTTCACACGAGAAGATATCCCCAACAACAGTTTGGCCTTCCTGGACTGCGCTGTACACATTGAAGAGGATGGGAGCCTGCAAATTGGGGTTTACAGGAAACCCACACACACAGACCAATACTTACTAGTAGTCATCAGAACCCTACACCACACAGCGGACCGCATACCAACAAGTGCGCAAGCCAGAGAGAAGGAACAGAACCACCTGAAGGGGGCACTTACAGCCTGTGGATACCCTAAATGGACCTTTGTGAAAACAGCCACAAAATCCAGGAAGAAGACCAACACTACAAGGGAAGGTCAAACACAACATCATTGTGATTCTGTATGTGTCTGGAGTATCAGAGAAACTCAGAAGGATTTTCAGCAAACCCAAACACAAGAAAAACAATCTAGCATATGCAATCCAATGCAGTGAGGAATGCACTGAACTGTACATTGGGGAAACTAAAGAACCACTACACAAACGAATGGTTCAACACAGAAGGGCCAAATCCTCAGGTCAAGACTCTGCAGTCTACTTACATCTGAAGGACAGAGGACACTTTTTTGAGGATCTCCAGGTGCACATTTTAGACAGAGGGGATGGATGGTTTGAAAGAGGTGTCAAGGAAGCCATCTACACCCGGGTTGAGAAGCCGTCGCTGAACAGAGAAGGGGGTCTACACCACCACTTATCCCCCACTTACAATGCTGTCCTTTCATCACTTCCCAGGAAACTGAGCATTTCCTCTCGGCCTCAGGTGAAGACTTCAACGATGGTCGTTCAGACTTGGCCACTGTGTAGGTGTGACTGATTAAAACCTGATCTACAGTAAATCAGATGTAGACCCACTTCCAACACCCAAGTAAATGCATATTTATCTTTTGGGGGTGCTTCGGAAAGCATCACATTTTCTGCGCATTTAATATTCTAAATCATAATTTATAAGTAATTGGAACTTGTCATAGATGCATACCTGTAGTGGAATAAAAAGTGTAACGAGTCTCTCTCCAATACTGTGGGCTAACATAAAATTTTTAAAATTAAAAATAAATGCACCTCAATTTCAAGTACATGCACTTAATTACTGAGCGTTGTCTTTTCATTCATAATAGATCAGTCATGAAGACCAGATAAGCCCACTTCTTATCTCTGATGAACACTTCTCATACTGCCTCACAGAAATCAATAAAAAACTAATTTCCTGTAGGACTTGTTGCACATATCCGCAGCATGTGGAAGGAACCGAAGCTTGTTCAAAGTATCCTGACACCTGAAATAATTGAGTCGGTTTTATATCTGCACGTAATGAGGTGAAGTGCGGTAATGCCTTGATAAGCTGACAGGTATTAAGTATGTTTTCAAAGCGGGGATATAAAGGCAGGCTCGGAGGGAGATCATGACATCTTTAGAAGGATAGACAATCTTCAGTCTCTTCACACACTCTTTACGCTCATAATAGGCAGCCTCGTGTCTCTCTGTGACAGCACCCTACTTGAACTGTCTTAATGTGACCTTTCATCTTGACAAGCCGCAGCTCTTTTTTGCGATTGATCTGCCTTTCCATTTCTGCGCGAAAATAGGTCAGGGAAGGATGGGTTCTTTACTCTGAAGCCTCTCCCCTTTTCTATTAACGGCAGCTCCTTTTTGATAAGAGGTCAAAAGAGAAAAAAGAGGAAAGGGAAGAAGATGCAGGAGTCTCTAGGTGATAGTGGGAAGATGAGTGTAGCACAGTGAGATCTGGGAGGATGATTAGAATCACAGAAGATGACTCGCCAAAAGCTGGACATGCGGATTTGCAGGTTAAAGTTCAATAAGATGAACTCTGACTTGCAAATTTGCAGGCACTCGAGGCAAAATGGCATCTCCACCATTCTTGAATTTTTGCCCTTTTCATGGTTTGCAGAGGAAATTTAGGAGGCATGTTTATGTTAACAGCTGAACTGTAAGTACACTGATGATTTTAAGGCGGCACTGTGAATTACTGGTGTTCCTTTGGTTTAGCAATCCCAAGCATGAGTCAGAGCCAGCCACAATGTGCTGGGTAAATGCAGGGGAGGAGCACTATGGTATCAAACAGGAAAACAAGGTAAGGCTTCATGAGTCACACATATTAAACACCCCCTCTCGCCCAAAGCAAACCCACCAAAGAGCTCACACCAGGTGTGTACACAGCCCCTCACCTCACACACATACACAAAAAAATGCAACCGCAAAGAGAGTACCAAGCAATAATTGCTACTCAAGATTTATTCTCTACTTTTGGTCTGAAAGTGTAATATTGAGAATGACCTAACAATAAGACTGAGCTCTACAAACACATTTTTGATGCTGAAGCGCTAAAAATACAGAATATTATAAACCTGATTCCTCAGTCATTTCTTCACCATGACAACCGCAGATAGCAAAACACATCTCTCTCAAGGGAGGCACAGATGAAGGCTGATTTGATGCAAATAAAGAAACAGAGAAAATACAAAAAAACACCCATTGTTTATAAATAAATACACCAGTGTGTGTGTGTGTGTGCGTGTGCGCGCCCATGTGATATGTAAAGATGTGCATGTTTTTCTATGTCTGTGAATGTGCATGTCTGTGTATGTTTCTCGATGTATGGATTGGTGGGTGTCTGGTTACCCTTATACATATATGTACAGTACATGTACTGTATGCTTGTGTACATGCCATATGTGAGTGTTGGGTGGAGCTATATCTCTGTTCAGAGTGATGTGACTTTGAGCTGAACAACCCAGAGCAACCTCAGAGGGCTTCAAACTGCCACTCTCAGCCTCTCCTCTCTGTCCTCATGTGCAACACTATTTTATTCCATCCCATTCTTACAATTTTCCCATTTGTTTGCTCAGTTCTGTTGTCTCAAACACCATTCAAAAGAACACTGGAACAAAAGGGGAATCTGAGTGAAAATTCCTCTTTGGTGCCATAAAATCATGACTCCAAATGAATGCTAATGTTGCAAAGTGTACTGTTGTAAAGTTTCTGTTCACTTGGGAATTGTAGGCCCAATATTCACAAGTCTCCATCAGCTCATTAGAAACATTGCCGGTTCATCAGCTGCTAAATGCTCCACTGTGTTCACCGGCTAGTTGCTACTATTGTGTAGTTAACATTTGGTGCTGAGCAGGTAGTATACAGTGGACCACACTCCACCCTCCACATTTAACACCGCCTTCTTTAGTGTTATCTACTCACTTGGGTGGACTTATAACAAACTGGAATGTGAAAATATTTCACTGAATTTGACCTCATGCAGAAAACATGTCAGATGTTGGAAGTAGTTTTTGTTTTAGCAAAGACGTCAAAACCCCATGTCTGCAAAAACACACTTCAGTCTCCTGTGCACATGCTCTTACCACACACATTCATGTAGTGTACACACACACACACACAGCTCAACTGTAGTAGATTTCATGAGTGCTGGCAGCATAAAGGCTGCTCCCCCTTTTCTCTCCCTCCCACCTCCTTTCCTGTCTCGCTATCCCGCTCACTCTATTGCTCTCTCATTCGCTCGCTCGCTCCCTATGCAATTCTTTGTTTTTGCTGCTTGTGCTGCCGCGGAACCCTCTTTTATTCTGTTTTTTTGTTCTCATCTTCTGAAGAGAGAAGCTTCCTCCTGCAGATATTCTTTTCTTCTTTGTTTTTGTCTCTCTATCTCTCTCTCTCTCTCGGATCCATCTCTTTCGGACGGTATTTCCTATGCATCTCCCTGTGACTGAGGGGAACAGGGACTTGACTCTCCCCTCTCCCTCTCCTCCTCATCGTCCTCTTCCACCTCCTCCGCCTCTCCCCCTTGTCTTCACCTCTCGTCCTCTCACTTCCTAACAAAGGGATAATGTTCTATTTCCAGCTGGTGATCATGGCTGGGACGGTGCTGTTGGCTTACTACTTTGAGTACACAGACACCTTCCCCGTGCACATCCAGGGCTTCTTCTGCTACGACAAGACCTTCTCCAAGCCCTATCCCGGTCCGGACGACACCAGCAAGATCCCCCCCGTGCTCATCTACTCACTCGTCACAGCCATCCCCACCCTCACGGTAAGAGTGAAGTGTACTTATAAGTGTGGAAGCAAAGGTCAAGAGATAGAGGGAGGTGTGTTTGAGGTGACTGTGTATGTGAAAGTGGGTGTGCGTCTACTGGATGTTGAAAAAGGAGAAAAAGGAAAGCTTTATTAGAAAGTACGAAGTTGTCAAAGTTGAGGTGGTGTGTTTGAATTGTTTCCTCAGTTTATGAGAGAGTTTTGTTCGCCTTCTGCTTTATATGATATGTGAGTTTTTTCAGTCTTGTGATGAATCATCTCTGGTGTGTGCGCTGCACCCCTGATATAGTGAGCAGATTGGCAACCTGCATGGAGGTAACCCCCGACCATCCTCGAGAGGCAAGTGTATGTGTGTGCGGAGAGACAAAAACGGAGGCAAAAATCAAATCGGACAACACAGAGATGCGATGGGAATGGGCAGACAGGTCATTAGAGGAAGAAAGAGTCAGAAGCAGGGAAAGAGAGGCAGATAGAGTAACGGCCAAAGAAACTAACAATAGAGAAAGCAACAGAAAGAAACAGTGCGAAAGTTGGAGTGGAGACAGAGCGATAATGACAGGCAGCAGATGCTGTCTGAAAAGAAAAACTGGAGATGATAGGTGGAAAAAAGAGACAATGAGCACAAAGGCAGGCAATTTAGAGGGGGGCATGTACTGTTTTTTTTGTGTGTGAGAGAGAGAGAGAGAGAGAGAGAGAAAGAGAGAGAGAGCACTTGAGCCCCAAGTGAGACGGAAGGCAGTGAGCGTGAAATGCATAACACCTGGCCCTGACTCTGAGCGCAGACACAAACCTTAACAGCTCACATCCCCAACAGACCAAAAAAAAACCGCAGAGAACACCACAGACAGAACCAGCCTACAGCCACAACACAAAGTAGACAAACAACCTGACCGGATGACATGCACAGACAAAACCACAGTCCGCGCCTACTGCAAAGACAACACTATTTTGCAATTACAGCACAAAACAGACACAGGTTCTGTTTGTCCGCAGCAGTAGATGTTATGGAGAAGGGTTGTGGGTTATTATAAAGTGGGACCCCTGTGTACAGTTTGCCTCACAGCCACAATACAACCTGGAACAATTTTACATAAAGTTATGTTAGGACTTGCCTGTGTTGACACTCATAGCAGACCAAAACACTGTGCATGATAGGATTCTAACTGCTTCACATCTCTAATAAAGATGATATATTTTGGTCTTTGCAAGTGCAGTACTGATTTAGGGACTGTAGGAAAATTAGACAGGGGAGGAGAGTCAAAAGGGGGAGGATTCATATTTCTTCTTTGAGTTGAAGGTATTTTTTTTCAGAGAGTGGGGGAGTTTAAAAAAAACTTTCTCATCCCAGATTAAACTTTATTTCATTCTTCCCTTGTGAGATTGTTAACTGTAATAGTTTATTTTATTACTGGGGAGAGGGGTTTTTCAATTCAAGGAGAAGGTTCAAAGATATTAATAATGCAGACATGGCCTTAGATTAGCCCCAGCTAGGGCTTGATCTGGGTCAGAGCACATTATTTTCACCAGCTAGTCTGCCCTAACCTGTGCTGACAGAGGCTGTGGTGTGTGTAACAAGTAGAAAAGTAAATCACAGCAGTAACCCCGTAAAATAGCACCTGGTGTAAATGTGCGTTGCCATTTGCCTCTGGTTCCTGAGAAGCCTGATGTGTTGTTGTCCAGTGCAGCAGAAAGTCAGAGCCTGGTGTTTGGTGATAAAGTGGCTTTATGGCAGAGATGTACAGTAATAAAAGAGCACCATGTTACTGCTGGTACAAGTTCAGCCCCTGGCCCTTTACTGCCATATTTCCTGTCTCTCTTAACTGCCCTACCTTAAATGAAGGTGAAAAAATGCCAGTAAAATACTTTAAAAAAGAAGTTGAACTTGATTATTAGAAACTGACATTATAAATAGGGAGACATTTCCTGGCTGAATCGCTATAGGTAATCTGCCACTGGTGTGTTTGGGTCAGAGCCAGGGTCTTTCAAGTCCAAAAGAGGGCAATCTAGCTCTCTCTCAGCTCCCAGTAGGGTCCCAAACATCTAATTAAAACCATCAATCACCTTTTGAAGCTTCAGCACAGGAAGTCAATCCAATGCTTGGACTTCAACATATTCCCACCTAGAATAGGTGCCTTTTTATAACTTGTGTTTATTCTTCCTTGTTAGTACATTTTTGTTTTGCCCAATATCTCACTGGGTGTGTGCCTACAGTTGGTTTTTAAACTATCTACAAAGCCAAAGGGTTTATTAGGTACACCTAGAAGCTACTGCAGTCTACTGCAATATGCCTGCAATAAATCCTTCATGAAGGTTATAATGTTTAGTTTTTGTGAAATCTGTTACACAGGTGGCTCATCTTTCTGATAATGTTGCCAGCTGTAGTTTGTTGTGCTGCTGAATTGTATTGCGTTTTACGGAGAGATGTTTGTAATATTTTGTTGACTCCATTTATATTAGTGAGGGTAGGATTTAGTGCTCTGCTGTTGTATTAGACTGCATAAGTGTCAGACAGTTTCACCTAATAGAGTGCCAATGATTGTAATCCTTCGGCTTATGTTAAAGAGTAATTTAACACCCCTGAAAATCTTCTCCTTGCTGAGCTCCGCTGGTTTACCCTCTCACCTTGCTGCAGTGAAGAACAGGTGGACTCCAAAACCCAGTGACATCACTGTAATTAAGCTAACATTAGCGTCATGAGTTGGTTGAAAACACTGTCCCTAACTGATTTTTTATTGTTTCCAGCTGACTCGTTGTCAAAGGAGAATCTTGAAAAATAGTCTTTTACAGGGTGGGGGTGAGAAACAAAAAGAAGAAGTTTGTAAAAAAAAAAAGTTTGTTCATTATGTGATTATTTTATATAAGTGATCAAATTTGCAGGCATCCTTTGGGTTTGATTATTTGCGGAAATATAGGCTTACAAGGACTGGAAAAAATTTCAAGCTTTTGCAAACATTGATTTTGTGCTGAATCTCAATTCATTCTTGCCATCATATATAGAAAGTCACACATTTGCGTGTTTGCTTTCAAATAACTATAAATTCATATGTTTATTTAGAGAAGAAAACCAGTGAACTTCCTGTTAATAGATTAATGCTCATAGAATACTGCGTTATTTTACCCCAAGGCAACTGCTGTATCTGCAATGACACTGAAAATTCTCTGTTCAACCACACACTTGAGTTCATTTTAAGGGCATCTTGAAAGTTTGCCTAATAGAGCTTATAAGCCATTTAAGTCTAGGATGAATTAACTTATCTACTGCAGATTCAATCTGACAGTGTGCACGCAAATGTGTGTTCATCTTCTCTGTAAATCCTTCCTTTGATCAGTTTTGTTTTTTGTCTTTCTCTCTCTTTTAACCTCTGTTGCTTCTCTTTTTTCCACGACCTTCTGCATTCCTCTCATCCATACTGACCTTTTCGTCTGCATGTTCTGTTCATCACAATTCCTCTCAAATCTGCTGGATTCACCCAAATTTTAGTCTAAGTAGTGCAGTACCCGTTCACAGGGAAATTTTTGTTCAAAATGTGCGTCTCACGTTAGTTTCACCGACAGCAGTGGCTGGCAATAGGCAGCCTGCAGGCCAGATTAAATACATAAATAGATAAATACATAATTACTTTGATAGCAGCTGGTGCTGAAATAGATCTAAGTCATGACAGTGGCAGGTACTCACATAATAACTTCCTCTTGTGACCGTGCTTACAAAATAAAAGCGCTAGAAATTTTTTGCAGCAGTGCTTTATTTCGAGTTGAATTGAGACGTTTCATTTTGAAAAGTAAAAGCTCTGTGCTGACACGGTTCTCTGTCATATTTATTAATTCTGAATGTGTTGGGTGTTCAAATTGCACCACACTCCCTTGGGTCTGCAGCAACACACCCGCCACATTTGAAGTCTATTGGATGGAACGGTTCCTGACATAATCAAAACACAAATACACAGACATACATACAGATTTCTTCCTTTACTAGAGAGATAGCACTTAAAACTATTTTATCATCATGTTTATCCCTTCCAACATATTCTGAGATTGTCTCCGCTCTCATCAACACCTCCTCTGCCTTTTCAAACTCTTTATGCCTTGTCCTTTCTGAAATCTCCTCACACCTGTTGTTTGTCTCACCTTCCAATTAACACATGTCATCTGTGAACTGATGGAACTTTTCAGCTTGTCTGCTCCACAATCCTTGACTGGAGTGAATCAAACAGTTTGCAACTGCACAGGAAGACATCAAAGTTCTGTTTCTATGCCCCACTTCCTGCTCTTTTCCTTAGATGAAGAGAAGACCTCTTGTATATGACTGGAGTCAAACTGAGGAAGTCAATACTATTTCTATAGCCCAATATCAAAATCACAAAATGTATCTATCTAATGTATCCGTACATCATACAACACCCTCTGTCCTTCCCCTGACCCTCATTAAAAGGCACACACACTGAGAAATTATCTTAAAAAATAGGAAAAATGTCAGCTTTCAGCTTTGGTCTGACTCATCTAGTTGAAAACCAGGTGAAGCCCATACTACATTCAAGGGCAGATTAGATCCATGTGTAATTGAAGGGGCTGTATGTATTTTTGAAATTTATTTATAACCTCACATAAAAATGAACCATTCGCCGGCTTCTCTGTCATCTTGTCAGACCAAGGCAAGACCAAGATCCATATTCCCATTAAAACATCCACATTCAAACACTAAGAGTTGAAATCAATGTAAGCATCGCCGTCGCCGGGAAGGGTGACAGTTGACGGTAACAACGCATTTTAATTAGGGTTATTGGTTGCATTTGTAGCAATACCTTTTACATCCAGTCAAAGTTAGGATGTTAACAAATAAATCAGACAATGCAAAAATAATTTACTGATATTCCCAAAGTTATGGTCCTGACTGTTCTTGAAATAGAATCCAGAGTCCTCAATGTCCAAGACCGTCAAGTCCGAGACGAAACCAAGACCATGAAAAAGTGGTCTTAAGACCGGTCTTGAGTACTACAACAC